ATTTGGATAAAAAAAATCAAAATTTTAATCTAAACATTTGAGTCAGGGGCGGAACACAAGCTTTCCAAGTGCAGGGGCCGGACCTAATATTATATATTTTCAAAAATACCAAAAATACACTATCAACTACGAAAGATAGCACATAACAGCAAAACAGCAAAACCGAAAACCAAACCGAKTGAATTGGAACCAAAACCACCAATAGCACATAATAGCACATGTGGGAATTGGAACCAAAACCACCAACACAAGAGATCTGGAAGATTAACGCACAGATTAAAACTAGTTTAATGATCRAAARTAGAAACAAACCGAGTGATAGTTATCAACTACGAAAGATAGCACATAACAGCAAAGGGAAGAAGAAAGGAAAACCAAACAAAGATACATGTAAGCTTTTCATATTTTCTTCTTTTTTGAGCTAACAAAAAAGAGCTTTTTATCAGGGAAATTTAGTAAGAAGACGRCAATACATACAAYAGAACTGACTCCACAGAGTGCCGCCTTCCATGAATCACCTGACAGCAAGTCTCCTATCATAACATGAAGCAAAGACACAATGTACCGGCTATGTCTAGGACTACTAAGGTGCAAAGACACAATGTACTTGACAAACGGTGTGTTGCTTCTAGAAGACAAAAAAAAATTGGAACAAAAACATGATCAAGAAATATCCTCTAATTGATGTAACTTTCCTATAAGAGGAACATATGTCCCCTTCTCAAACTTCCTCTTATAAGCACATTGAGTTAGAGTTTCCCATAAGAGGAACATATGTCCCCTTCTCAAACTTTCTCACCATGGTTTGGATGGCTAAGCTTTGATTATCCGACTGATACCCTTCTTCCCAATTAACCTTTTATTGAAAACACACACACAACTTGTTTCTTTAAGAAGTTCTACTAATCACTCTTTGCCTCTTTGGGTTTCTATAAGGTTTTTTTTCGATAGTGAGAACATTCTTCAACTTCTTTACACTGGTCTAGGAACAAGAACTATTTACTGGCCTAATCTTAGGGTTTTGATTTCAAAACAAAAAGTGCAACAGAATAGGGGAGAAGACCAATGTCCAATCACCAATGGTTTAATTTTATAACTTATCTCTATACTCTACATATGGTTTAATTTTAGTGTTAGATAGTATGATTTCAATTCATATTGGAATACACCTAAATCACCTAAATCAGCTAATTTCCACACATATATGATTGCAAATATCAACCAAAGGCATCTCTAAATAACCAATTTCAGTAAATTTTGCCCTAATAATCAGTAAATCACCATATAACCAATTTCAATAAATTTAGCCATAATAATCACCTAAATGCTAAATCAGTAAATTGTAAATCACCACTTTTGGGTTTTGATTTCAAAACAAAAGGTGCAAGTGAAATGCAACAAGCAGCAGTCAGCAGAGAAGCAAGCAATAGGTTGTAGGCCAGTACAGGGGCGGAGAACTCAGTCAGCAGAGAATGAGAGAACTGAGAAGGACGGACTTACCGGGACCGGGAGTTACCGTGGCTGGCCGCCGCCTCCGCCTGCAGTGCTGCCTCCGCCTCCGCGGCTCCGTGCCTCCGTCTACGCCTGCCGTAGTGCCCGTCTACGCTAACGCTGGTCGCCCTCCTCGTCCTCACACAGTCGGCAGTGGGTAGTCGCTCTCGCTCGCCTCTCGGGATTGGATTTGGAAGGGGGAGGCCGGTTGAAATTTTTTGAATCTAGAAGGTAATGGATTACACTGTTGTATGCTAATTGGGAAAAAAATCACAGGGGCCAGGGCCCCTATAGGCCCCTTAGGCGGTCCGCCCCTGCATTTGACTAAACGATTATCCAGTAAGTAATTATCGGATAATTTTGCTCACCGGATGAACATGACAAGAGCCAAGAATCTTACCCGATAAGAGTGATAATAAGAATGGAGAGTCTTACCCGGTAAGTGAGGGTGACGATTCTTACCCGGGTAAGCACTTACCAGGTAAATTGTTGTATAAGATACGTTTTGATGTACTACAATCTTATCCAATAAAATAAATTATAGTGTTGACTCCTAGCGTTAAGCACTTACCCTGGAAGTATTTAGGTAAACGGCCCTTTAATCAAACATGTTTTGTACAATTTACATAACATATCTGATTCGTTTCGAAGTGTTATATTTGTAGAAACAGGTGATAGCTAGAGTCCGATAGTCATAATGTAAGGTTACAATTATTGGGCTTCTTGTGAACATTGAGATCTTAAATCGGCCATTTAGTGAGTTATTGTGTATTTAATTCGCGCCGCTTACGTTATGCTTTTAGACGGGGAGGTATAAGCCGGCCTAAGGTTTGCCGCTTATAAGTACTTTTCGCCCAAACTTGCATAACATACAAACATCATCTGGATAGGAACGGGTGCGGTAGGCCGGTAGTTGCTGAATATTCTACAGGTATATGGATAACAGTGTTTTACAAAAACTACCACATAAATTACAATCAAAAGTTGCAATCAAGTTTTTTGTCCATGACTATAGTTACAATCATGGATACGACCAAAGATTCGATAAAAGACAACTTGTCTTGCTCAGAAGACAAATGAAATGGAGATTAAATCCTCCAAGATAAAATTAACAATCACATCGATATAATACTTAAAAAATACCTCACTGTATTTCTAATCGGGGACATGTTTCTTGTTCTATTCAGTGATCTTGTCATCAATTTCTTATTTAAATCAATTTGTTTTATTAGATTCATATTATTAGATTGTTTAATGGACATATCAATCTCAATAAGTGTAATCGACTTTTTTATTTTTTTAGGCAAGTTTCCATTTATGAATTATATACTTATCTAGATAACATTTCCCAAAACGATGTGACCGTTATCAACTTATTCTATCTAATAGTGTATAGATTTTAACGACATGTCATGAATTATACTTTCATGTATCTTCTTTGTATAAAAATCAACAAGAATCAAGCCTAATTAGCATATGCTTCGTGTTTTTTTTTTTTTTTGAAATATATAATATTTATATACGGCAAATGCAACAAATAAACTCACACACCCTCCTCACTTATGGTGAGGTTTGAACCCCTGACCTCCTAGAAGGTCAAGGACTATGATACCGCTAAGCCAAAAACTCTTAGGTACATATGCTTCGTGTTTGTGGAAGCATTTTTAGGATGTTTATGATAACTCCAAAAAGTTTTGAATCATAATTTGACTGAAAACCACCCCAAAGATATGGATTTTTATCCCTTTCCAACTCCTTTTCCTACTTTCATGCTTCTTGTAATCATCCACATTCTATTTTAATGTGTTTAACATAATTACCATTAGGTCCTCATTCCTTCAATTATTACATACTAACCCTTGTATTTGCATCTTTTAATACTTGGCAACATTAGTCCGTCTCTTAGACAAATCGTTATATTTATATCTGAAAATTGAGGTGCATACGTAACTCTCTATCTCCATCAATGTTCATATCAAAGGTGTAAGTGTAAGAATTCCAGATGGCCCATTATTAGTAAATAGTTGAAATTGCCTCCATTTGTTTGTATTTCAAAACATATTTCTTATTATACTGAACGACTTATTCATTTGTTCTCTTTATTTTAGACAAGTTTTCTTTCTTTATTCATGCAAGGATTGTTTAATCAATCAGTTATGTATTGCTTTTTAATATATGTTTGTTTTTATTGAAATATAATAAAGAGGAAAGCTTTAGTGTACCAGTTCAATATTTAAACAGATCTGATTTTACAAAATATAAGGACATATTTACAATGAATTTGAGGTATAACTATATATTGAAATCTTATATGTTTGAACGTATCTGTAATGCAAATAATGTAAATCTAGGCCACAAATTGTATTCTTATACTGACTCATCCTTCTAATCGGATCACATAATTTGGATTATGTCACATTTTTCACTTTATTTATGTTTTTTTTTTTGCATCTAGTTTTGTTGATTCCAAATGTATCCGTACACACGTGAGTAGGAATTTTATTTTTGTTAGTGTACCATACTAATGAATTTTATATAAGCTACTTTAAAAACGGGTGATCCAATTAATAATTCATGAAATTAGTGTTGGAAACAACGGGATTTTGCCCATTTTGGGACTAAAAAACAAGTCTAGTAAGAGCAGTATCTGTAAAGATGTTGCGAGTCTGTGTAGTCTTTTATGAAAGCTTCATTTGATATATCGTATATCTAAAATAAAGTGTTCTAGAATTGAAATAAAAACGTTAGTGGGTTAATATATGTTATCCTAGTTAGAAGAATTAATCTGGTATGGTTAGAAAGCTAACTCCACAATCACGCTTAGAATGCAAATTACTTGGATCAAAATAGGTTTTCACTTAATTTTTGTGTGACACATCCTAACGAAAGTTAGAGGTGATATAAACGCCCCTCGTTCCCTATATTGACAAAGTGATCGAGTCAGGGACAAACTCATTCTATCAGATATAGCGGGACAAGTTTTATTTATCCGTTGTAGTATAAAAAATTATAGGATCGTTAAATGTGTGACCGTATCACTTTGTTATATGTCATATATAATATATATTTTGAAACTATAATAATAACACAAGTTTTCATTGGTAGAGTTGGTTATTCTCTATTTGAGAAATAGACATATTTTACGGATACCATGTTTAAGAGGAGCCTCAACCAAATTTTCATTTAAATTTGTTTATAATTATCCTCGTAGGATTGACGAGCATTGGTTGGTGCAGCGCCGGTACTCATTTGAGGAATCATCATCATGATGTCATAACAACGTTATCATAATACAATAATAGTCGTAGTTTTACGAGTGGCAGTACCCTTTTTGAATAAGTCAGAAAAGACTAAATATCTTAGATTAATATGGTAAACAACATTGAACACATCGACATTGATAACATCAATGTTCCCCATCCACAAAAATGATTTGACACTATGGTTTTTCCACATTCTTACTGATATAGAGAGTTCTCATTCCAAAAAGCATTCAGAAATCGAATGAAATGCTCCCCTTCGATCCAAGTCGTTTTGGAAGATTCCACAACAAGCAAACCTACGACTTCTCTAAGAAAGATGTCGATAATCGGCAAGCCGGAAGTTTTGGAAAGCTGCCGGAGTTATGGGAGGAAGATGACGATCATTCTGGAAAGAAAGCTAAACCCACCAATGGACTTCTATTCTCGACGACAGCAGAATATCATCAACAACAAGAACCAGCAAAAGATTTCCATAATTTGGATGCTTTGTTTCTTGACACAACACCCCCATTTCCATCGTACCAGATGCAGGAGCTTGCAGATATCGAATCGCAATATACTGAGCTTATTAAACCGCACCCACATCCTAAAACAACAGAAACACCAAAAGCGGGTGGCCAAAAGTTATCGACGGATGGCGTTATTCGGTTGGGTGGAGAACGGTTCGTGCAATCTCGTTCTTCGACCATGAACGATGTCTCGATGCCAAGCCATCCGTATAGCACTTCCTTCTCTGGTCTCTCCGATCGCGAAGTTAAAGATGTCGAACTCATCGAAAATCTTCTGCTTTCTGCTGAGAAAGTCAGCCAGCGCCAGTTTGAACGATCGAGTAAGCTTCTGGACTGGTGCGATGGGTCATCGTATAGTTTTGGAAACCCGATTCAAAGATTAGTCCACCATTTCTCGAAAGCATTACGAGAAAAGATCGCTAGAGAAACCGGAAGAATCTCACTCCATGGCTTAGCAAAGAAACATTTATCCGATATAGAAGGCAAAATGACGACCCCTAATCCGACCATAATCTCGGTTTACCAGAAGTTACCGTTTTTTCAAGCTGGTCAGTTTTCGGCGGTCCAGGCTTTGGTTGATGGCGTATCTGGGGCGACAAAAGTGCACGTAATCGATCTCTCGATAAAAAACGGTGTCCAGAATACAATCCTAATGCAAGCCCTTTCATCTCAAGCCAATTGTCCTATTGAGCATCTTAAAGTAACCGCTATCGGGACTAATCTTAACTTCAGACAGAACATCGAGCAAACGGGAGAAAGATTGAAGAGTTTTGCGGAATCTGTAAACTTGTCTTTCTCTTTCAATGTGGTTATGGTTGAAGATATGCTCGATTTCAAAGAAGATCTTCTCGATTTGGATCCAGAAGAAGCGTTGGCCGTTTACTCATCGTACGCTTTATGGAGCATGATATCACAGCAGGACCGATTAGAGTCGCTGATGAAAGTTATAAAGAATACGAATCCTCGAGTTATGGTGGTATCTGAAGCTGCTGCGAATCTTAATTCGCCAAACTTTGTGGATCGTTTCATCGAAGCTTTATTCTTCTATGGCGCGCTCTTTGATTCATTGGAAGATTGTATGGGCCGTGAAGATGAGAACCGTGCGATCACTGAATCGATGTACTTGAATCAGGGAATATGGAGCAACGTGGCAGCAGAAGGAGCGGAAAGAGTGATTCGACATGTGAATATCGATGTTTGGAGGAAGTTTTTCGCACGATTCGGAATGAACGAGATAGAATTGAGTATGTCGTGTTTATATCAAGCAAATTTGATGGCAGAAAAACTAAGTTGTGGGAGTTCTTGCACATTTGAAATGGATGGTAATTGCTTAATAATTGGGTGGAAAGGATCACCGATCCAGTGTCTGTCTGCTTGGAAGTTCTCGTGAGACAGATTTGTGCCATATACCTCTACCTATATGTTTTTTTGATTGTTATTGAAATTTATTTGTGCATGTTAAATAGCGATTATGTACTATATATATATATATATATATATATATGTTGGCTATGGTTAAAACATACTATACACCTTAATCTAAGAGCACCGATCGATGGTAATTGATCTTTTGGGTATCGTGTGTGAGTTTGACTAGACATGACAAGCTGTCTGTACTCTGTATGGTGTTTGACACGACTAAAACTGAATAAGGCTATACTAGTTTTCCTTAAATATTGTTTGATGATTTTATACGGTCGTGGTGGAATAGGAAGTGGTGGTTGTAGCTAGCCAGGCCATGTTACACCCATATCATGACTATCGATCAATATTAAGACAAGACATATAGACATTTAGGGGGTATTTACCGAACATTTACTCCGTAAATACTTACCGTGTTAGTTTACCTTACTAGATGAACATGACAATGATTGAAAAGCTTACCCGGTAAAAGTAATTACAAGGACCGAGAGTGAGAGTTTATCAGGTAAGTCAGAGTGACGATGACTCTTACCCGATAAAAATGTTGCATAAGATATCATTTTAATAGATATAGTCCATAAGTTAAATGAAAATATTGAATTTTACCGATATATACTTATCAGGATAACGACCGCTAAGTTGAAAATTTAGGCACTTAAACTAAAATTTTCAGTAGAAAATTGACAGCTTGATAATTTTTTATTTCACTACGACTTTTGCCGGCCCTCCAAGTGAAAACCAATTAACTAGGTACCATATGTGAAACACACAACCGTCTATAATTGAGACACAAAAAATAAAAAAAGAACTGGTCATAAAATAAATCAAAAAACTAAATATGTTATTATTTTATGTACAAAAATGTTTGTATTTAAAACTTCTTACTATAATGATCAGAGAGAGAGAATTAATTCAACCGGTTTCGATGTAGTTTAATCCTAAACAGGTTGCGGTTGGTAATTAACTGAACTTCGTCCATTTTAGATGTGATTAACCCTAGCTAAATGATCATATCAAAGTTACAAAACCATATTTTATATTATATTATAATGTTGGGTGTCAACTTATATATTTGAAACTACAATAATAACACAAGTTTATCTTGATAGAGTTGGTTTGAACGACTCTTCTCTCCTCCTAGGCATGACTTCAAATCTTGTTTCAATCATTTTATTAGTCTTTATACAACTGTTAATTTCACGTTTATTATGTTTTTGGAAGAAAAAAAATTACGATAAAAGACTTGAACACAAAACTTCACATACAAATTGTAAAGAACTAATCAACGAACCAATAATGATTTTTTTAATAAATATTCGTAGCTTCGGTTTTTATTGTTAAATGATACCACTAGGTCCGCCTATGCCTTAGGGTTTGAATTTTTTTTAACTTTCTTCTCTTCTCATTTTGTATGCGATAAAATTGAGATTCTAGAAGTTTTTAACGTTCATCGAAGTATTTTTGACATATGGGTAAGAACTTCTTTGTAACCTTTATTTGGTATTAATATGAATTATGAATCATCATCTCACCCATATGGACATACACTACTAAGAGGCCATTTACCAAACACTTATCCGGTAAGCACTTAGTGGTAAAATTCAACACTATTATTTACTTGCTAGGTAAGATTTTAGTCAACAAAAACGGCTTTCTGTGCAACAATTTAGCCGGTAAGAGTTGATTATGGTAAGAGTCATGGTTCTCACTTACCGGGTAAGACTCTTGGTTTTTGCTTCGCTTTTACCGGGTAAGCTTATTGGTCATTGTCATATTCATCCGGTAAGATAATATAACTTGGTAAGCGCTTACCCGAATAAGCATTTGGTAAACGGCCTCTAAATCGATAATAGAATCACGTTAATTCTTGTGTCGATTATTTTTTTGGGTATCTTTCATCTATAAATAAAGCATTTCTCCAGCAAGCCTGAGCATGCCAAGAAAAAGAGCGATGCCTATTCATGTTTAGGTGCAAGTGTGAGTTTTTAAAAAAACCAATAGATGAACTCAACCAGGATAGTAATGGACTCAGGTTTTTCTTCCTGGACTATTTTTGTCTTTTCTGAATGATAAAAAATCGGGACAAAAGAGAATGATATTTTGGAGTTGACAGGTTGGTGTACAAGGCCCAGGAACGGATATCTTCATTCTATCGTGATTGGTTTGTTATTAATTAAAGGTGGTTATTAGTCTCTATTGAATACCCTTAGGCCCAATTTTTATGACATAAACGGATTATGAGATTTTTGAATTTTAGGTGGCGTTTGTTTTATAAGAGATGTTGAAGTTTAAAGTCTTATTTCATTAAAATGATTAATAATAAGTGGTGTTGAAGTCTGAATTCTGATCAATAAGACTGTTTGTTTATGTAAACTGATTAATGTTTGAATTTGTTTAAATTGTCTATTTTACCTATTAGAAAATTATAGTGTTGAATTTATAGATAAGTTTATACAACTTCACATATTTATTCATCATCATTACGAATTTTACATCTAAAATTATATAATTATCAATCATTTAAACGAAAATATGTCATTAACGGTGTTTAACACATTTAAACCATTTTAAAATACATCAATTGAGAGAGGCGAGAAGTGATTTGGTCAGGATCGATTGAGAGGTGATCGATTAAGGTCAATCGATTGAGAAAGACCGTTGCTGAAGGTGCAGAGAACAATAAGAAACAAATAAGATATTGATTTACCTCTTACCAGATAAAAGGTCAATAAAACATAAATGTCTCTGAAAAATTGGAAGAAAAAAAAACAAACGGTTTAAATAGTCATATATCTTAACTAATCAGACATAAGAGACTAATAAAAGTTTAAAAATAAAACAATGCCTTACCGTTTGAAACAGGCCAAAAGACCAATTTTTGACCATCTCTTATCCTCAACTTTAATTTGTTTTTGAATTTCCATACAAATCTTGATGTCTACTCCTATTCTCTATTTAGGTATATTGGTATTAGTTATTGGTTGAAAAGAGAAGTTGACTAAAATAGTTGACCTTCTAATCCTATTTATTTTAAGTCAAATTTTCAAATTAGTTATTATTTATGCAAATGGTTCAGGTATTTGTATAAACCAAATTTTTTGATAAAAAGAAAAAAGAAACGGACATTTGCTTTAAGAAAAAGTACAAATTTACGTTGAAAAAAGAGGTTTGAATTTTGACAAGTCAACTGTTGACGAAATTAGCTTATATTCCAACGATTGAAAATAGGAGGCTCTCTTCGTTTTTCGTCTGCTAGCTCCATAACTTTTTGTGTTAGCATATGGAATTTTTGTCCTTTTAAGCAGGCTGAATCAAAAAGCATCGAACAAATCGGCAAAAAGGTGACTATGTCGAGGCCAATTTCACTCTATTTTAACTGCAAAATTCATGCTTTCAGTTGCAACGATGTTTCCTTCCAAGAAATTTGATCTTGCTGCAGATTCAGATAATCCTTCTTCTAAACTCCAAATAAATGATCAACAGGAGCCCTTTTTCAGCGATTTCGGAGATTCAGATAATTGTTATGTCGATTTTGCTTCTCCAGCTTTTCATGTTTTCGTAAAGAATACCAAAGATTCACCATTTCCAACCAGATCAAGAAAATTGAATGCTGAAAAGATTCTGGTTCCAACCCAAAATCCTGACAAAAAACTGTCGACTAACGCAATAATTCGATTGGCTTGCCAACGGTTTGTCGAATCTTGTTCTTCGAAAAATGATCAAATTTCGTGTTCTGCATTATCGGATGATGAAGTTAAAGATATTGAACTTGTGCATACTCTTCTTACTTCAGTTGAGAAAACCGGCCAACGACAGTTTGATTGCGCAACCAAACTCGTTGAATTATGCAATAATGTATCTACGACTGAAGGAAATCCGGTCGAACGATTGGTTTACTACTTCTCCAAAGCTCTTCATGAGAAAATAAACCGAGAAATGGGAAGAGTAGAGTGCGATGGACTTGGAAATATGCAGATGTTTGATCTTCAAGAAGCGTCGACAAGTGTAGAAGCGAGCATTTTCGCATTTCACCAGCGGGTTCCGTTGCCGCAGGTTTGCCAATTTATTGCTATTCACATGATCATTGAAAATGTAAGGGAAGCAACAAAAATTCACGTAATCGATCTCCAGATCAGGCACGGGATGATATATACAGTTTTGTTGAAAGCTCTGGCGAGTCAGTGTGAATCGCATATCGAGCATATCAAGATAACTGCTATCGGTACAAGAGCAGAATCAAAGATAAAAGACATTGGTATGTGATTAAATTTATCTTTAAAAGAGCTCAAATATAGAAAGTAAACAACATTTATTGGGTTTGCGTTTACCGAATAAAAGTGCATTATGAGTAAATGATTCGGTCCATATAAGCGCTAACTAAGTAACAGAGAAAATGGGATTTTGATGTTGGTCGGGTCTACGCTAATGCTAACCGAGTCAGCACCTTAAGTCACGTCAGTGATCAAAGTAAAGGTGTTGCCCATTGACCAAGTCAGTTAGGTCAGTAGTAAGTAGGGCCTAAATGTTTATATATATATATATATATATATATATGTGTGTGTGTGTGTGTGTGTGTGTGTGTGTGTGATCAAATGCAAATCACTCATATTTGTACAAAACCGTGCAAATCACTCTTATCCAACGATTTTATTGTTTAATTTAATGATTTTGTTTCATCAAATTGTTTAATATTATGAAATTGTTTTATATAATACTTTTCTAGATTAAGTTTTCAATATATGGTTATGAAATTTTAATAAAATTGTTTTATGTATTATTAAAAATAATATAAAGAAGATGATACTCATGATTAACACTTTTTGCAATAAAAATGATTTATCAGCCTCTTATAATTACAAAAAAATGAAAACAACGAAAAATTATGATGGATTGAATGAGATTTGTATGGTTTATATATATATATATATATATATATATACACACACACATACAAGGTTGATTGTTCTATGTCTAGCTCAAGTTTATTGATTTTTGCAGGTAAACAACTTGCTGATTTTGCAGAATCGATTAACTTGTCATTTAGTTTCAAGATGGTTATGATAGCAGATGTGCTCGATTTCAACATCAACCTCCTTGAAATTGATGATGATGAAACAGTTGCCGTCTACTCGTCGTGCTTTTTATCGAGTTTGATCGCAAAACCAAACCATCTCGAATATCTTATGCGAGTGATTCGAAAAATTAATCCTTGTGTAACAGTAATCACCGAAGTTGAAGCAAACCATACTTCATTGGCTTTTGTGAAACGTTTCACCGAAGCTCTTTTCTTCTATGGTGCACTTTTCGACATCATGTCGTATTGTTTGGCTAACGATGATCGGGACCGAAAGGTTTCAGAGTCTGTGTTGTATGGTCAATCTATACGTAATATTGTTGCGGCTGAAGGAGATGAACGAACAATTCGACACATTGGTGTTGATGTTTGGAGGGAGTTTTATGCGCGATTCGGAATGTTGGAAATCGAATTGAATGATGCGTCGTTATTTGAAGCAAAGTTGCTGATTAGCAACTTCGATTGCGGGAGTTGTTGTTCGATTCGTGTTGATGGAGGATGTTTGCTCATCGATTGGAAAGACGTACCGATCTTCTCTGTTTCCGCTTGGAAGTTTCTATAATGTAATGCCGTACATCGTTTGAAATAAAATATTTGAACTTATGGTCTAATCTGATTTATTTAGGGGCGTCTATCAAACTATTAGATTTGGTCCCTGGCGGTTATTATTATTTTTTTTTTTGTTAAATGAAGACATTTTAATTCTTTTATCAATCTTTTTATCTTTTACCCAATAAAATTGATTTTTACCGAGTAAAAGAAAAATAAATAAATAAATAAACAAAAGCGTTCATCTTTTAACAGAATTTTCTATAAACCGTTACAAGGATGGATCAAATCTAAATATTTTTAAAAACTACAATGGTTTTTTTATAATTTCATAACTCGACTAAGTAGGCACCAAATTCATAGTTTACTCTTCATTTAATTGTATATAACAAAGCAAGATGTAACATTTTTTATATACCATATTATTAATATCTTCTGTTGTAACGATTTTGATATTTTATAAGAAAATATATTACGGTAGACTTATTATGTTTTAAACTAATTTCATGAACGTGTAGTTAATAAAAGAATAATGTTATTTTCTTTATTTAATGAGAAAAAAAACATTTGTTCTAAAAAAATGCACACTTTAACTTTAAACAAAGGGAACGTTTTAAAAAAATCTAATCAATTTTTTCGTTTTAAATGAATTAATCTTTTAATTTTTTTTGATGAAAAAATACTAAACATTTTCATTTTATATAATTAAATCCCTAAACCATTTTTTTTAAATATAAAAATATTATCAAACGTTTTCATTTAAAATAATTGTTTCTGAACAATTTTTTTAATAAATAAATTATAAATTTTTTTAAAATTTTGATGGTTTATTATTAAAAAAGAAATTCAAGACTAATCTATACTATATTATAAAACATTTGATAAAAATTCTTAAAAACATTTTTTATACATTAAGTACTGTATATTGATACATATTACTTAAAATTCAATATTACAAGTAAATTATGCATAATTACAATTTATTAAAGTTTCATGTTTAAATTCGTATAACTAACTACAGATAAACATAATCAAATATATGATAAACATCTTATTTTAAAATCTAAAATATCTAAGATATAATTAGGATAATTATCGAGTTCTAATTATTATTTTTATAAGAAAATTATGTTATTAAAACAAATATAAACTATTTCATTATTGAACCTAAATTAAATTATAATAAAAAAATTGAATAAAAAATCACACAAAAAATAAGAATTTTAAATAGTTAATTTAATACTAATATTGATAAATTTTTGTTAAAATTTTATGATATCTTCAAATTTATATTTTATTCAAAAATAAAAACATCATCGCTTTTTCAAAATTACATAATACCATATTATATCATCGACTGAAATAAATAATAAAATGAAATATTAGAATCAAGATGCATTTCGCTGCATTACACGAGTACCCTTCTAATAATCAATAATTAGTTTCTTCATTCAAAAAGTTCGAAAGACTAAATAATTTAAAATAAAAAATTTAATAATTTTTTCATTTAAAAAAAGGTTTAATGAATTAAGTATTTAAAAATTGGTTGAATTTTTTTTGAAATTTTTTCCTTAAATAAACTAAGATAAGAAAACAGTGTAGAGGTTTATTTTGAAAAGGTTTAGGTCAATATTTATAAGGCTGAATTAAATTGTACCGTACAAGTCACTTATTCGACGAGGTAAGATGAATAAGAAGGTGTGAGTCAGTGGAAGGAGGCTACTTGGCTACGTTTAAGCCGTCACAAGTGTCCTTCAAGTCGGTGGACGGCGATCCGGTGGCTATTTCTAATCAACCGAAACAACCCCAATTCAATTTCTGCTCAGACGACGGTGGAAGACATGGAAGGGGATGGAAAAAAGGTGGTGACGGAAGGAGTTGACTGCAAGATTCCGGTAACGGAGGCGTGGCTGAGGAAGCACCGTTTACTTTACAATGGTGCCACCAAACACCCGTTTATCCGCAGCATCCGTGACGGATCTGTTGATTTCACTTCTTTCAAGAGATGGCTGGTAATTTCCCCCTTTTTCTTCTTATGAAGCTTAACTTCTTAATTCAAATTTTTGCTAAATGGATTGAACTTCGCCACTAAAATTCAAAAATTCTTGCAACTCCCCCGTGTCAAAATCTGTACAAACTTCATCGAACTTTGTACTTGGGTACTCAAAAATTTAAGGGTTTCTTGCTTTAATTCTTTTGGTGGATTCGTGTGTTTTTAGATTTCTAGATTTTGTTCCTCTGAATCTGGTTCGAGTCGGATTAAATTTTGTATGGCGGATTCAGGGACAGGATTATATATTTGTAAGATCGTTGGTTCCTTTTGTGGCAAGTACATTGGTGAAGTCTTGGAAGGAATGTGGTGATGGTTTGGATATGGAAGTGATATTAGGTGGTATGGCTTCTTTAAACGACGAGATCAATTGGTTCAAGAAAGAAGCTTCCAAGTTTCATGTTTCCCTGACCAACGTCATCCCTCAAAAGGCAAACATCAAATATTGCAGGTAACGCGAGCTACGATTCCAAGGGTTTGTAAGAGTGCGGTTTGCGTCAATTGAATGAAATAATTATGTGTAATCGGGTAGGTGTTCGGTCAGGAGCATCACTCTTTAGCTAAACTAGCAAATGTTGACCGAGTCAGCCGGCCTAACAAAATAAGCATCGATTAAAAGTAGGTTAACAGGCCCAAGTCATTTAGATCAAACTTTGATTATAAAGTACTTGTTGATATAGCCAGTATTGCGATTCATTTGAAAGCGATTGATAATGTCATGGTGTGGATAATCTTGCTACTAATCTATTGGCCTTTGTGGGGGTGTTGTAGATTTCTAGAGAGCCTTACGAGTTCTGAAACCGAATACGCGGTGGCAATCTCGGTGTTTTGGGCCATCGAGGTGGTGTATCAAGAAAGCTTTGCTCATTGTCTTGAAGAAGGCGGTACGATTCCGCAAGAGCTACAAGAGACTTGTGAACGTTGGGGCAACGAAGCTTTTGGAGCTTACTGCAAGTCGTTGCAAGATATCGCTAATCGTTGCTTGCATAAAGCATCGGCTGAGGTAATCTCGAAAGCGGAGGTATCTTTTCTACGTGTCCTTGAACATGAAGTCGAGTTTTGGAACATGAGCGTTGGAGAAGCAGGAGTTTAATTAGGGAGAAAAATAAGCTCGAAAAGTATGTAGCAAGTATGGTAAATGTGGTGCTGTATCCTGAATCGTGTCTATGTTTTCGTTCCATACATATTCATCTTGATAAATGCATAAACCCTATAAAAAGGATGGAATGACTTTGCCTCGTTTAGTATTATAATCATAATATTATGATATATATAATTGTAACATCCGAGACAATTATATAAGATATCGTCTGTAACAAGTTGTTATATTACAATTACAAAAACTATAGGATATACACGTCCTTACCTTATAGACCATGTCGATCCATCAGATCAATGATGTACAAAATGGATATATTCCTATGACCATCAAATACAATTCATGTAAAGTAACAAATTCAAGGAGCAATAAAAATCTTTTTGTGGTTATAGAGGTTTAAATGCGGTGATTCTGGACTATCTACAAAGTAGGTGGTCGTCTTGGGATTAGTCGGCTTGCATAGCAGGTTGGATGTCCAAGTTAATAAAAAAAAATTATAGGTAATATATCTATACTATATTATAAAGTATTTGACAAATATTTTTAAAAATTATTTTTATACATGAAATATTGTTTATTGATATATATTACTTAAAATTCGAGATTATAAGTAAATTATGCATAATTACAATTTATAAAAAGCATTATGTTCGAATTCATGTAAGTAACTGCAAATAAATATAATCGATTATATGATAAACATTTCATTTTATTTTAAATATAAAAAATCTAAAATATAATTAGTTGAAATATAAAAAATCTAAAATATAATTAGAATAATTATTAAGTTATACTTGTAACAGAATACTTAATTATTATTCTTATAAAAATTATATTATTAGACCAAAAACAAATTATTTTGTTATAATTTAGGTTTAATAACTCAATAATTACTCTAATTATATTTTAGATTTTTGTATTAAAAATAGATGTTTATCCTGTAATTGATTATATTTATCTGCAGTTCGTTATACGAATTCAAATATGAAGCTTTAATAAGTTGTAATTACGTATAGTTTACTTGTAATCTCGAATTTAAAGTAATATGTATTAATAAATAATATTTATGCATAAAAATAGTTTTTTCTAAAAGTATTTATCAAATGTTTTATAATATAGTATAAATAAAAATTATATTATTAACGAAAAACAAATTATTTTGTTATTAAACCTAAATTAAATTATAATATAAATTTGAATTAAATAAATTATATAAAAATGATAATTTTTAAAAAGTTAATTTGATACTAATGTCAATACATTTTTTTTCAAATTTTTATGAATAAATTTTATCAGAATCACATAAAATCGCATTACGTCGACATAGACAAAAAATAAAACGAGACATTATCTTGATGTATCTCGCTGCATTGTGGGAGTATCTTTCTAATATATATATATGACGACAATCAAATGAGAACCAGAAAAAATTACAAACGATAAGAACCGATATAAAAATATATTTTTACATTAGATTTTTTGATCAAAAGATATGATTTAACATATTGTTTCACTTATCTTTGTATTCATGTTATGAAAAAAAAAATTGTCTGTGAATTTTTTTTATTTACTTAGTGAAACGAAGAATATATATAAAAAATATTCATATAGTAAACAAATACATGTTAAAATGTCACATTATGAAACTAATATATGTTAAGCAAAATATCTTAAATCTTAACATTTGATAAAAAAAATAATGTAGCAACTTATTTTTATATTTGTTCTCATGGAGTTTGTAACCTTTTTGTGGTTCTCATTTGATTTAACCCACATATATGTATGTGTGTGTGTATATATATATATATATATATATATATATATATGAGCAATCAAATGCATATAACTCATATTTGTACAAACTGTGCAAACTACCTTCATTTGTCGATTTCATTGTTTAATTTAATGAAATTATCTAGTGAAAGTGTTTAATCTTATGAAATTATTTCATATAACACTTTTCTTGATGAAATTGTTCCATATATGATTGTTTCTATGTTTTAATGAAATTGTTTTGATGTCTTTCTCTAAAATTAATATAATGAATATGATAATATCCATAATTAACACACTCCACAATAAAAATGACTAATTAACCTCTTATAATTACCACAAAATGTAAAAAATGAAAATTAATGATTGGTTGAATGAGGTTTGCACTGTTTGTACAAATAACGTGTTTTGCAAAGTAAACCTCCCCTAGCCCTTCATACGGTCAATATTGGATTTGACTGGTCAAAAATTACAGCTATATGAAAAATAAAGAGGGTAGTTTCGTAATCTTTACAAATAGACAGCAAACGAATTCATATATGAACTACATGTTCATATGTGAACTCGTATAATTCACATATGAACTATTTTAGCGAATTCACATATGAACTCGTATGATTCACATATGAGCATATAGTTCATATGTGTATAACATGGATTAACATATGAACCCGTTTACCATATATTTATAAAAATTATAAAACTATCCCTCCATCTTTTGCATATCCATGTGAGTAATTATTCAGTGCTTAACGATTAAAGCCGCAAATGTTGATCAGATAAAGGGCCAAGATCACTTGTTTACTTATCAAAATTTTATCACTTCTCAAATGAACTTTCATCTGTATGTATATATGTATGTATATATGTATGTATATATATATAGTTGTGTGAGAGAGAGAGAGAGATGTATATATATTTTCTTATAGCCATTTGGCTTTTTATATTTTCACAAAACATGTAAACTAGAAAATAGATCTTGAAGTAAATTAGAGTGGCCTGATCGTAATAATTACGGAAGCAGGGGGTTTTTAAATGGGCATAAAGTCAAGCTGTGGGTGCATCAACAAGTGAAGCATATATTCGTTTCCCTTGGCAACAAATGAGCTTAGATTCCATAAAAAATCAAGAATCAAGCCCTAGTTTAGATTTCTCCCCTTGATTGCTTGTGTAAAGGTTGAGATTTTTCAATCAATCGGAAGAGATGGCTTTTTGGTGGGCTCTTATCGTTATAGCATTCGCTTTTGTGATATGTAAATTTCTACTAATGCTCATTCCTTCTAATGTGCCTTCGATCGATGTTGACGCATCCGATGGTATACCTTCTATTTCTCTCAGTTAATTTTTTTTTACTAACATCAGTTCTGCATTGAAATTCGGCTCCACATTTCTAATGATTTTGCAGATTTCGACGTATAATCAATGGAAATACGTTTTTTTTATATAAATGCATGCACTTGTTTTGATGAACATCATACTCTTATAGTACAGTTGCTTTATGCAAATGAACGTGTCTATCTCACAGGTTGTGTGTCTGTGAGTATGTGTATAGAGCCATACTCCAATATGCATACGTCGTGTTTTGTTGGTTTTTTGTAATGTATATTGTGGATGATTTGTACTGCTGGTGATGTTTTGGTTTACATGCACACATGCTCGTTTTAGGTACAGTGGAAAATTTTACATCGCTCCAAAAAAAGAGGATAAATGGATTAATTCTCCCTATTTCAAGTTCTACTAGTTTTTGAGCAAATTTGGTGGTAAGAGTGTTATACTTTATGTCAAATGCTATTGATAGAAAAAATCTGGTGTTAGAAATGCATCAAAATTGTAATTGGTTTTTAATTTGGAAAGTTAATAGGTTTGATGATGGGAATCAATATAATGTACCTATTTCTATAGTATGGAGTATTTATGCAACTGGAGACTGGAGAGTAATGAATTTTTGGGGGCTTTTCCAGGCAACACAAGTCAAATACTAAGAGGCATCATTTAAGCCAACTAACACATATTTTTTTGATAGGGAGGGGGGAGACCCCTCCAGATCAAGGCAAAACACTAAAACGCTAAAAGCAACAATGAAGCGCGGGTGGGAGGAAACCTCAACCACTAACACATATTTATGTACCCTTTTTTTGGGTTAAACTTAATTGCTCATGGTGCTGGTTTTTATTTTAGTTGAAAAACTGTGTAATGAAGTAGCAGCGTTATATCCTTGGGGAAAAACCACCTGCATTTGCATCCTGCTCCCTTATGCTACGGATAGAGCTGTAGACAACATTATCCATTCAAACATCCCATGAAGGCTCTGGATCCCCTTAAGTTATATAGTTTGTGATTATTGTGTCAAGTGCAAGTGTGCACATGCTGCAATGCATATCATCTTAAATTTGAAACCATAGAATTTCATGACTGAGGATCTAATGCTCCCTCTAGGGAAAACTATCTTTCTAATTTACAAGAACAATATCCTAACAAACATAGAGTGACACCAAGAGAAGAACATACAACTCACAACCTCATATCCATTTGGAAGCAAATCACTCTTATATATCTCACTTTTCTTAACATATATCTATAAGCATGTTCATATGTCATTGATCTCTGTGGTGCTTGTGATACTTATTTGATTCTCTCTTTTTATGTGTGCTTGTGCATTTCACTTTGTGTTGATACTTGCTTATGATGTATGCGTTTTGACATGGATATTTAACAGTTATAGATGATGGACATCCCAAAGAGAATAGCTTCATTTATGTAAGTTTTTTTATTTATGTTCCTGGTAGTATATTATTTTATCAATGAAAACTTCTTTTTGTTCTCTCTTGCATTTGTAAGAGTAACATGTACTTAGAGAGGGCAAAGCAAGTGTAGGCATAGGCTAAGGGAGTTCACATGTAGAATATAACTGATAACTTGATCTTAGATAGGGATTACAGGAGAGGGTAGAGGACTGCAATTCACAAAGCAGAGCCCATGAGGCTTGGCCTCATTCTCATTCTTATCACAATTTCATATGGGTATCACTTTTTCCCTACCCTGAAACCCCAAGATTCTGAGAAAAAGGCTTTGTGAAACCTATCCTGCTTTTTTATTGTCTTCCATTTTTCGTAGTCAATTAACTTATGTAAGTGTTTAGACATTAATACAGAATACAGAAAAACTATGAACTTTCACATAAGGGAATGACGTTTTTACATTGCATACATGACGTTTAACTTATGTAAGTGTTTAGACATTAATACAGAATACAGAAAAACTATGAACTTTCACATAAGGGAATGACGTTTTTACATTGCATACATGACTTTGTATTATATGGCAAAGAAGAACTTTTGTCCTTCAAGTCATTTCATGCTTGCTCTGTTTGGATTTTCAAGATTCAGAAACACTTGACATTTCTTTTATGCATTCTTCATATTATAGATACCTTCAAGAAGACAAACTGATAAAGTCCAATGCTACGAGCCTGCAACTATGAAGTACCTAGGGTACTCCCCTGCTCTGAAGCCTGATGAGGTTGGTGATTAGAAATGAACTTCTATAACAAAGAGCTTCTATGCATATTGAAATGGCTATCAAAATACTAACTTTATGGAACTGGGCATTATTTATGTCATCATTTTTTGTTTTCCATTGTATAATAAAGCTGAACCTCTATATGATTATAATGTCGTCAAATGCGCTTGTGATTTCCTTCCTCCTCTCCCAACAGATTTGAGCCTTCAACATCGGGCATGACCGAATATCTGGCAGATAGAAAGTCCTACATTTTCATCATATGCATCTCCATGTTCTAGAGCATCTATTTCATTTTTGACATCATTATTTTAAAAGTTGCTTTTGTCACTTCTAATGTTTATTGACACATTGAGTTCCTGTAGTTTGGATTTAGTAAAAACATTTAGGACTTAACTCTACAGGTCAGAGAGCTGTTAAGCTCAATAATGTTGGAATTTTCACTCATTTACTGTCCACTCTTCCAGTTATTGTAGAAGTTAACTCTTTTTTATGGTAGACTAGTACAGAAAAATATACTAATAAATACACCCATGGCAAAACACCTTCATACCTTGTCAGGGATGTGCTAAGTTGATATACTTGAAAACTATCGTGCTTTACACTCCAAAAAATTGATGTTGATGTCGTACTGGTTACAATCCAAGAAACACCCATTAGCTCGTGTATACATTACACATCCCTATTCTAATGGGTGTTTCTTGGATTGTAGTTTTTATCTTTTCTATAATCACCAATTCCTTAAACTTATAAACAGTAAATTATTTCATTGATAATCTATACTATATTATAAAGCATTTGACAAGAACTCTTAAAAACCATTTTTTATGCATGAAGTACTATTTATTGATGCATATTTCTTAAAATTCAAAATTACAAGTAAATGATGCGTAAGTACAACTTATTAAAGCTTCATGTTTGAATGCATGTAACTAACTGCAGATAAACATAATCACATAAAGGATAAACATCTATAATCATTGAGTTCTAACAAAATACTTAATTATTATCTTTATAAGAAGTTATATTATCAAACCAAAAATAAAAAAAAGGAATTAAAGAAATACACAAAAAAGAGAAAATTTAAATAGTTAGTTTGGTACCAATATCAATATTTTTTTTCAATTTTTTATGATATATCTTTATATTTATATTTTATTAAACATTGTCTTCTTCTCAAAACCACATAAAACCGTATTATAACATCGACTGAGACAAAAAAATGAAATATTAAAATCGAGATATATATTGTTACATTGTGCGAATACCCGGCTTCTAGTAGTATAATATACATCTGCCACCTGCATGCTTCCTTAATTATTTATTGGTTGAAAACAATCATCAGTGTGTTCTCAGGTCAAGGAGCGAGTGGCACAGGTTAGGAAATCCCAGAAGGTGTGGGCAAAGAGTAGCTTCAAGCAAAGGCGTCAGTTTTTGCGTGTACTTTTGAAGTATATTATTGAACATCAAGAGCTTATATGCGAGTAAGAAATCTTTTCTTGATAGAATGATGAACAAGATATTGATAGGATCACTTTTTGAGCATTATCTTTTAGTACTGTCTTAGTGCTTTTTGTTCTTTTTTTCACTCTTTATTGATCTTAATCTTCCTTATTGATTTGATGTTTGTTTACTTGTACTTAAATAGTTTTCCTTTTCTATAGTTGGATTTTCATGTTACTCTTTACTCGTGTGAGTTTCTAAGTGACCCCCCTTTTGTCAACCTGGGTGCATTTTTAGGTTGCCAACTTTTTGGTTAGTGTATGTTCTCCATGTCAGCTTGCCAACTTGAATGTACTCTGCTGGCATAATTGTTTAGCACGCATGTAAGGTCAACGACCTTGGGAAAAAGTTTTCTGCAAGAACCAGAAGGCTAAAATTTGATGTGCGTCCAAGATGCTCTATTGATGCTTTCTTGAATGTAAAACTCTTGCTTGGAAGTACAATTCTAACAAGGTTCAGGAGAGATTGCTAATTTGATTAGCAGGCTCTTGTCATTGTGTATAGGTTCCCTTTCCAATTGAGCTCCAATATGTCAATTTGTTAAATTGGTGTATTTAAAGTGATTATGCTGATCAAGGGGTACCATAACATCTGTTAATAACTAAAAAGGAGAGTCAAATGATTCTAATTCATTTTTATTTTTAGAATCTCTTCACGTGATACCGGAAAGACAATGGTGGATGCATCCTTGGGTGAAATAATGACAACGTGTGAGAAGATTACCTGGCTTCTTTCAGAGGGTGAGAGGTGGCTAAGGCCCGAGTACAGGTACTAAATTTTCTCTCTTCAAGTGTATATGATAGTTAGTTGTAATCTTAGGACGATCACAGTGGTGACTTCCATGAGTTAATGAGCCCTCTTTGAAGAGGTAAAGGGGAGGGGGGGGGGGGGGGGGGGGGGGTTCCAGACTGTCATCGTTCTATCTGAAAAACCCTCCATCCACCTCAAAAGAGTCCCTTTATAGTTTTCCTCCGTCTCAAGATAGATTCCTTTTTCCAGATTTAGCATCAAGTTAAATTTGAGTTTCCTAAATTACCATCCCTTCTAAAAGTTGAATAATCATTTGTGTGTTGTAAATCCAACCCAAACGGAGCCTGGTATATCCCACTCAGAAGTTGAGTCTGAGGTATGGGATGTTCACAGACCTGCCATCTACAGTGACTGTTTCCTTGAAGTCCCCCAGATGTATGCTTCGTATTTAATCATATGTAGGGTCGTTCAAAATGTTTTTCATGTCCTATATTTCAAGTGGTTTCATTTTCTTTGGTGATACTTTTATCTTGGAACCCTTCGATAACTGTTATTCAAGCTAATATTCCAAAATGATGGCTAAACTTGAAACCCAGAACAGAAAGCATAAACTTCCAGAACGAATTAACAAACAAGCTGTAAGTTTGTTTGCCTTACTAATGAGATTACATTTCTGCACCATTCAAAGTCTTAATTTTAATTTTAATCTAGAGCTTCATTATTGCTATTGTTGTTCATCTATCAATGCCACTCAATTGTTTAGCAAGAATTAAGTAAGCTGGGTACATTACTTTCACATGTGCCATGTTTCTTCTTCAATTCCATGTGCTTAGTAAATTTATCTTTTGCAATTAGTAAAGAACGCTACAACAATATGATCAAAGATATGTTTTTTTTATCATGGTGTTTCTCAGATCCTGTGGAAGATCAATGCTTCACAAGACATCCAAGGTGGAATTTCACCCCCTTGGTGTAGTTGGAGCTATCGTATCATGGAATTATCCATTTCATAACTTGTTTAATCCAGTGTTGGCAGCTGTCTTCTCTGGGAATGGCATAGTTGTGAAGGTATTTGATTCTAGGATAAAAATTTCACTAATCATTATAGTATTTACATTTAGTAGGATGCTCATCAGTCATCTCCTATAGTCTGTGTCTTGTTTCTTATACTCTGCCTTTTTTCCCTGTAGTATGTTTCAATCAATTCCTTTCAAGTACATTTTTGAACATACCATCTATAGGTGATGGGCGAAAAAGTAAATGCATTTTAAGCAGCGAATTGGCCCTGAACTTCATGTTGCATGTTTATCCAAATCTGTAAGAAGAATTTTTTTTTGAGTTCCACTTGAAGTGAAGCTATTTGATTGGTTTTGCAGGTCTCTGAACATGCAAGCTGGTCTGGATGTTTCTATGTGCGGATTATTCAAGCAGCCCTTGCAGCTGTTGGAGCTCCTGAAAATCTTGTTGAAGTAATAACTGGGTAAGCCTTTTTGATTATGCTGTCAATTTGCTTTTTTTAGGTACTTCAAACTTGGAATTTTGCCAGGTTTGCTGAGACAGGAGAAGCATTGGTGTCCTCGGTTGACAAGATCATATTTGTTGGATCACCAGGTGTAGGTAGAATGGTATGATTTTCAATTCGACAAATGCTTAAGATTTATCTGTTCTCTAAAATCAGAAAAAGTCAATTTTCTAGCTATACTTTCTGGCTACAAAGGAAGAGCTAGCTCTATCCAATAGCGATTGTTTTATTTTGAATACAAAACCTTTATTTTGGGGGTCCCTAGTGTTTTAAGGGATTACTTTCCCAGACCTCTTTGCACTTAACTTCTAATTTAGCTAAAGATTGTGAGTGCTTGCCTGTCAGATTTAGCCAAAGGATGCTTGATTTATTTTAACATTGTTTTTTGTAAATGCAGATAATGAGGAAGGCTGCCGATACATTGATACCTGTGACACTTGAGCTTGGGGGAAAAGATCCATTTATTGTGTGTGAAGATGTAGACGTGCCTCATGTATGAATAAGTCCACCTTTAGGTCAATTTGTATAATGAACTTTGATTGTGCTCTTACACATGCTTCTGAACATGTCGTTTTGACTTTTGATGTCTATTGGTTGGTGTCATTATTTGTTTAATAGTTTCTTAGAACCAAATATAGGTTGCACAAGTTGCTGTTAGGGCTGCTTTACAATCAAGTGGACAGAATTGCGCTGGGGCTGAGAGATTTTATGTTCACAAGGACGTCTATTCTTCATTTGTAGCTGCAGTTGTCAAGATTGTTAAATCTGTTACTGCTGTAAGTACTCTACTATGCTTTTGGTTGTAAGTTGTACAATGTTGTTGTTTTTATTCCTTTGGGGGTTAATATGATACAAATACATAAATAATATGCACTCACCTTAGGCATGCATGTCCTGTTTGTTGCTTAGACATTTGTAACATGAAGCGAAAACCAAACAACAAAAGGTGGATATTTTTGCTTATTCATCTACTCAGTTGCATGAGTCTTTTTGCTTTTTGGTTCGGAGATTATATTCCTTTTTGCCTTTTACGGGCTGCCGCTTATGTCGATCTTGGAATGTGGTTGCATGAATTCACCATTATTAACATGATTTGTTTATACAGGGTCCTCCTCAATCTGGAAAGTATGACATGGGAGCCATTTGCATGCAAGACCATTCTGAAAGGCTTCAAAGCCTCATAAATGATGCCTTAGACAAAGGAGCAGAGATTGTCGGTGGAGGAAGTGTGAGAAATATTAGTGAAGGCGCTGTTGATCAATACTTCCCTCCTACTGTTATTGTAAACGTAAACCACCAGATGAAGTTGATGCAGGAGGAAGTAAGTGGTAGCAACTAATTGTCAGAGTCTTCTCATTTGAAATGTACTTTTTTTTAGTTTATAGGTTTGATTTCACCAAGTATGACTTTGATGGGTTTAATAGAGAAGTGCATTTGAGTTCTTGATGATGTAATTCCATGAGCAGGCTTTTGGACCGATCATGCCAATAATGAAGTTCAGCTCTGATGAGGAGGCTATCATGCTTGCAAATGACTCAAAATATGGGCTTGGCTGTGCTGTTTTTTCTGGCAGTCAACGTCGTGCCAAAGCGATAGCCTCACAGATACATTGTGGAGTTGCCGCTATTAATGATTTTGCGTCCACATATATGTGTCAGGTAACGTTGTATAATTTATTGTTTCTGCTATCTTGAAGGTACTCTTTAAGGTAACTGCTGTTAGCTTCTGTTTAAACCAATCAAATCGGGATTCCGGTTACGTTAATTGCTGGTTTTACTCTAACCCAACAACCTTTGACTGGATGTAGCCAAAGTAACCTATTTGTAGTTCATTCTTTGTAACATGGTGGTCATTGGTCCTCGACTCCTTGTCATACAAATACCTTTATTCCATAACATATTCACATAAGTTGAAAATAATCCTAGGGGAGACAATACAAGGATAAAGCAAAGAAAAAACTTATAGTTAAAGATGCAAGGATGGACTTCTCTCAACATGGCAATATTCGACTCCAATAGTTTTATGAAGCCTCTGACGTTCTGTCATATGTCTTAAATATCCTCCAATAAGGAACAAATTATAGGAATCTTGTGGACCATAATCTAACTTATTAATGTTTTGTAATGACTGACTAATCGACAGCGAAATAGTTGCACCTTCAAAGTAATCCTATAACATTCAATGTGCATTCATCAATCCTTTTATTTGAATCCCATCTATCCTTGTTTCACATGATTATCTTAGTAGTGCATAATATTTGCAGTAATAAAAGCAAACCAAACAAATCAAAAACCAGTAATCCCATGCTTGTAGGGTTCGGGGGTAAGATGTACACATACCTTTCCTCTAGCCAAAGGGGTAGAGAGGCATAATATATGCAGTATATCTTATGCATATATTAAGTGAATGGATTAGATTTACCATTTTTGTTAGCAATCGTATGACTTTGCTTTGATGATTGATTCAACCATCACAAATCATGCTCCTTGGTAATTGCGCCCTTGTTTTGTCATCAAAGAATTTATTTTGCATCTTGTCTGTCCTTGTGCAACCGTAGATTGACCTTAATTTGAGATGAAGGTTGTTTAATGTCCTTGAAAGCTTTTGTTTTTTGTTGTTTTATGGCAGTCTCTCCCATTTGGTGGTGTAAAAGACAGTGGGTTTGGACGGTTTGCTGGCATCGAAGGGTTGCGTGCTTGCTGCCTTGTCAAAGCAGTCGTAGAAGATAGATGGTGGCCGTTGATTAAAACCAAAATACCAAAGCCAATCCAGGTAACCTTTGAAAATCAAGCATTCAAATGATCTTAGTTGGTTCCTAGGTTCTGAAAATATTTACGGTTCTCATTTGAACCTGCCAACTCTAAGATAATAGCGGTAAAGAAAGTAAGCATGTGACCGAGTTGTTTTTTAGAAATTTTGTTTTCCTTTTTGTTGGTAAATGGAAACTAACCAACTATTATTTATTTTGATGTGAGGGGGTGTAGTATCCTGTTGCAGAAAACTGCTTCGAGTTTCAGCAGTCACTTATTGAGGCTCTATATGGGTTGAACGTATGGGACCGATTGCGAGCACTGGTTAATGTTCTGAAAATGCTGACAGAGCAGAATTCTGCTGCTGCTAACACCAAGAGATAGAGGAGTGACTGACTGAGCCATCGTCGGGGTTGGTCTCGTTTTGAGTTTTATTTATGTAGAATGAAAAATGAAAATGTAGTTGTGGTTGTGGTTTGGAATTGGGGATGGAATGGAAAAGCTTTTCCAACTTTGAATGTGGAACATATGTTGTATTGTAGGCTACATGGTTCAATGATCGTGGGCAATGAATGAGATCATCAAAGCTACACAACCACAATTACATCAAACCCGTTCACCACAAATGACGATGATTAAAACATTGTATCAAAGGAATGAAGAAAGAGTTGAATGAAATGATTACATCACATACAATTGAAAATACTCTTCAACTCTAATACTATTGATTTAATTTTCTTTTATTTATCTTGTTTAATAAATCAATACTATCTTATTAATCAAATTTAACAAAAGTCTTAAAATACTAAATGATCAAAATATCATTTATACCAAAGGCGGACCAACATAGGTGCCATGGATGGCACGTGCCACCGTATCGTTTCTCCGGTGAAGAGTAAAAAATTTAGGTTTTGTGAATGGTGCAACCGTATTAATTTGTTGTGTGCCACCATATGTATTTTGAAACTACAATGAGAACATGTTTTATTTGATATAATTGGTTTGCAAGGCTTTTATTCTACCCCACACCCAAGTCCGAATCATGTTAGTTTCATTTTCTTAGTCAAACGATGCCACAATTTGAAAAAAATTTCCTATATTTTTTTTCTTATGGTCAAATGATGTCACCGTTTAAAAAAAATTATGGGTCCGTCTCTGCTTTATACTCACTTTTTCACCTCCTCCTTTCCTCACATACATTCACCCCCTCACATACACTACTAACCCTCTTACAACCGATTTTTTTAAAATTATGATTTTAAATTTACACTTTATACCCCTATAATTAATTAATAAATTTAATTTATGTCATTTACTTTTAAATGTTTCATTTTAAATCTTTATCAAATTAACATACATAATCGTATATCAATTAAAACATGTTTAAAAAATATATTTTTATTTTAACAAGTTACACCATTATAATCGTCTCGTTAATACCTTCTAAATGAGTCCAATATTGAATAATTGTTTACTTAATTATATTAATATATATTATATATACTGTGAAAAAATATTTTTAATATTTACGATTTATATTTTTATAGTTATTTATTTATATATATACTATATATTTTGGGGTTAGACTGTTCAAATTACACTGTATAATATGTTTTGTATTAATATGTTCTTGGGTTTGTTTGAAATATATAGATATATATATATATATACATGTATATATATATATATACATGTATTAATTCAACCTTAATCTGAGTTTCTAGACAAGAAAGAGGGTAAGCAGTTGAAATTTTATTCTAAAACCCATCTTTTTTTTGTCTTTTCATGGTTTATGATCTGTCAAATTTATAGTTTTCTTTATTGGTTTTGAGTGTTCATATTAAAACTCAAGTTTCTTGGTTCTTTGCTCTTAGTGTAAATCAAATACATTTATGGAGTCGTTTAAATATGTTGGATTTTAAATATATTGGATTTTAAACTGTCATACCTTTAAAATAAGTTTTTTAAAATTATATTTTTAAATTTATACTTTATACCCTTATAATTAATTAATTAATTTACTTTATGTCCTTTACTTTTAAATGTTTCATTTTAAACCTTTATCAAATTAACATACATAATCGTATATCAATTAAAACATGTTTAAAAAATATATATTTATTTTAACAAGTTACACCATTATAATCGTCTCGTTAATACCTTCGAAATGAGTCCAATATTGAATAGTTTTTTGACTTAATTATATTTATATATTATATATACTGTGAAAAAATATTTTTAATATTTACGATTTATATTTTTATAGTTATTTATTTATATATATATTATATATTTTGGGGT